GGGTGGCTACCGCCACTCTTGATAGTGATGAAACACCCACTAAAAAAAAAAAAAAAAAATGACTGCGAGCCAAATGTTACTCGCGTCGCGAGTGACCGGAGGTCCAGGGGGCTCAACGCCCCTAGCCAGCCTTGATGAGTGCGCGAAGCGCGCCCAAATCGGCAACTTCTAATTTTCATTTACACTGTTACAGGTGTTCGATTCCAATGGAATCTTCTTGAAAGAGTTTGGTAGCTATGGAAACGCAGAGGGAGAATTTGATTGTTTGGCAGGAATTGCCGTCAACAGAATAGGCCAATACATCATTGCGGACAGATACAATCATAGAGTTCAGGTAATTATAAGAAGTAAAAAAATGTGCACTATTTTAATTAGTGGCACCATTTCTACGAATAAACAAGGACAACTTCCATCAAAGTCGATATACTATCATTAATACAAACTTCGAAGAATTCAGACTTTCAGCGATTCTACCTTTTTCTATTTCACTCGAGAGGTTGCCAGATTGTGCGATAAATTTTAATATTTTACATGGATTTGAATTGGGAAAAGTGCTAAAAAAGCAACTTATCTGGCAACAATCGAGTCCGGGAGGGACGAGAGGCTGCCCTCCTGGGAAAACCCATGATTTAGCCGGAAATTTCATTAAAACAATTGATTCCGTTTGAAGCATCAATTGTATACTAAGAGAGAGCTATTTTAAAATAATAATTGTAAATGGACACAGATGCTACAGAGAGGGAAAAAGGAAAGGGAAAGGAAATGAAATTAGGATATGATTACTAATATGCAATCAGAGAGAATGAAACAAAAACATCAGAGAAATTTATATGCGATGAAAGTATAAGAAAAAAACACGAGTGGGCTCATTGCGATTCGGAACTCGAACTATACTATCGTTGAGCAGTTTTTAGACCCCTACGCCACCGATAATCTTCTTAAGAGGTAAAGATGAACTTTTGCTACTTCAGCAAGTCAAATCGCGGAAGGAGATCCATGGACTGTCCACCCGATGGGATGACGTCCCAGTCAAATGCGTTTTTGAAGAAATGATCGATCCCCATCATCGCTTCATCTCCACACATCTATTCACGTGCAAATGATGGTATGCTCCGGCAACAAGGTTCTGTGACAAAATCATTTTTGCCTCCAGAGTCTCCAAAATGTATACATCTTAGTGATCAAATGTCCAATCACTGAGAAAAATGGCTCGCGGAGCAAGCCGAATGCCACTCGCGTAGCGAATGATCGGGGTCCAGGGGGCCCAGTCCCTTGGCTGGCCGTGACGGACGCGCAAAGCGCGTCCAGAACGGCTAGTATTGACTAACCCTCCTATCTCTAGGTCATCAAATCAGATACTATGATATTGTTCCACAGACTGGTAAAAGAGGTTAGGATGCACTCCGGGGCGCATGGAGACGAATGATGCCCAAAAGTGCATACAAATACGAATTAATAGTAGGGTGCAAGGGTTAAGTGGTGCCGCAAAATTGTGCGTTGCAGAGATGATTTGAATGGAACAAGACGTGGTCGATGTCGTAGGACTGTGCAAAGAAAATTTGAATTGAAATTCCAAAGATGCAGGGGTATTACATTTCTGGATGATAGCGCATATCAGCTGGCCGACCCCTAACGAAATAACGGAACGAAACTACAATGATTTAGATACATTATCGACTCCTTTATTCAAATTCGAGAACGACATGAGTACAAGCAGAATCCATAGAGAAAAGAACGCCGAACAACGAGAGAGAGATACGAGTAACTACCACCAGTAGCGATTAGAGTACCTGTATAGGGAGAGTAGCGACAGATCGGTTCATGGAGGGCCTAGGGCCCAAAAGTGCAGCCACCCTTCTGAGCAACTTCTAACACACAAAATTTCACTGCCAGCCTACAGATTTCAATTCTAACCAAAATGGCTAAGAATGTACATAAATGAGCGTTCTTTCGCAAAAATAAGTAAATTTATGCAAAAAGTAAACCAAATACATGCTTTCTAAACGACGGTTCGTAACAATTGTATTTGTAAATCGCTCTGGACATTCGAAATTCATAGGTTGGCTGCCCTTTTGGGCCCTAACTTTATTCGCGGAGGCATCGGTGAAGGCCTGATGGACTTTCGGAGTTTCAGATCTGTCGCTACTCTCCCTATACAGGTACTCTAGTAGCGATGGCCATTCTTGATTGGTTGATAGACAGTGGTTCTTGATTGGCCCCGCATAGATCGGGAGATACAACAAAATTGGAGTGTTTTCGCTTGATTCTCCTTTAGTTTGAGGGAGCTACCTCACTCTGGTCATATATTATTTATTTAGTATAGATTAGCCAATCGATAGCTATGATAGGTACACGTCCATAATTTTTATACATTTAGAATGCATTACATTAGGAATTCATCGATAGAATAAAATGCCTCATGAAGGAGGAGCTGCTTAAGACTCTGTAAAAAATGGGCTGTAAAAATCATCGGCTTGGTGTGCCAAATGATGCATAAAAATATGAATTGAGAGTACCTGTTGCCCTGTAAACCATTTTATTACTGCTATGCGGAACATTGCCTTTCCTATCAAGCTGACTCGACAGCCTTAAATAATGGCAGGCTTGGACAGTCCATTAATGGATATGTTAGCGTTTAAAGTATGTAATCCGTTAATGTATACATTAACTAGTTAAAGTATACATTAACTGAAACGGCCAGTTAAAGTATAGAATTTTTGTGGGTTGCACTCTCTAACAAGTTATTCTATAGAATAACAGGCGGCTCACAGGTAAAGTGTGAAAGTCACAATTGAATCAAGTCAAATGATCAAAACAAAAACAAACGACTATTCATGATGCACGAACTGAATGTCCGTTATAAAAACATTACTCAAGCCCAAGTTAAAATTTTTTAGACTTTAGTGAAACTTGTCAGGTTAAGAAGAACGTCATGAAAAGGGGCATTGTTGTAAAACCTATAATTTTTCCCCACGTAAATAGTCGCTGTCAATTAGATTTGATTGATTTGCAGTCGCATCCCGATGGTGAATTCAAATTTATTTTAAATTATCAAGACTATCTTTCTAAATTCGTCAGTTTGCGAGCTTTAAAGACAAAAATAGCAGATGAGGTTGCGTGCAACTTGCTAGACATTTCCACGAGTTTTGGAGTCCCAGCAGTATTACAGTCGGACAACGGCCGGGAAATTTGCAATTCAGTGATAGTGTCCGAGGGAAATGTGGGCTGAATTAAAAATTGTGCACGGTAAACCGAGACATAGTCAGGGTCAAGGGAGTGTAGAGAGGGCAAATCAAGACGTCAAGAATATGGTCTTTGCATGGTGTAAAGACAGCGGAACAACGAAATGGAGTCAAGGTCTGAGATATAAGGTGAGGTTGGGTAACTGGGCAGGAGTTCGGAGAAAAATGTCAAAATTTCAACTTCATGATTTTTTTCCCATCATTATATTGACAGTGGAGGCTACTTTTAAATTTTTTTTAGTAAGTACAACACCTTGTCTAAATGTAGGAAGAGTCAAAAGTCGAATTTCATCTTTCAATTTTTTCCCACAAATTTTCAAAAATTTCCCGTTTTTTTCACCCAGTTACCCAACGTCGTGGGGTAACTGGACTACCCCCCCTTAATTTTTGAGGGGAGCATTATTTTTAATTCTCATTGGCCAGAAAGTGATGTCCTGCTCATGAAGGTTTAAGAAAATGTCATTTGAATGTATATAAACATGTTTAAGTGGTTAAGAATGATGTCGTAACAGTTAGCGGCAAAAAAACCCTCAAATCTGAGAATTGAATAACGGTAAAAAAAAATTGTTTCCTTGTAGATAAATGCTTAGAACTTTCTGTATTACTACTTATAAAGTAGTATTGTATACCAGGACACTGTTTGGCCACTTTTAGTGAGATTAAGCATGATACATTTTTAAAAAATGAAAAAAAATTAAGCCGCAAGGCTGATCTGGGATAGAGTCAGGCGCCAAAAAGTTCCCTTAATTTTTAAGGGGGGCATTATTTGTAATTCTCATTGGCCAGAAAAGAATGTCCTTCTCATGAGGGTTTCAGAGAATTTCATTTGAATTTATATAACCATGTTTAAGTCGTTAAAAGTGATGTCATAACAGTTAGCGGCAAAAATGTAATTAAGTAATGCTTAAGTTATGCTATAATTGACTTAAGTTAGAAGTTTAGTGTGCTGGGAACCCTGATTATTGGTCTTTGGCACTTAAAAGTCCACAATAGTCAATTAGTTTTGACATTTTCAGAAGTGAACAAACACCGAAGCACAGCAACCTTGCAATGGGTAACTGGGCAGGTGCCACCACTGCCACCTGCCCAGTTACCTTGGAGTGGGTGCCCAGTTACCCCACAAAGGGAAAATTTTCAAGGTAACTGGGCATCAACCCTTTGCAGCCAGTATTTTCATCCAATTACGTTGTACGAGGTCTGTTAGATTAGAAACCGGATTTTGGTCATATCTAGCCCAGATTGCATACGAATCAGGTTTTCTTGAGCTTTCCTGATAGCTGGAAATATACTTAAGAACGCTACGTTCACAGGTTTTGTTTATTTCGATCAGTGTTTATTCTGTGTCATCTTGAATACGAGTAAGTCCGGTGCGTTTTGCGATTTTCATCATGCGATCACTGATAGAGCAAGGATTCAACATTAAATGTTGTTTTAAACTCGGTATACCTTGTACCGGAACTTTTGGTATATGCTAAGTAAATTTTACCATGATCATTGTGTGAGATGTGAATGGATTAAACGATTCAAAACTGGTCAGGAGTTCGTCAAAGATGAGGAGCCTGGGAATCGACCCTCAACGGCAATTGATAATTGTCACGTGGAAGAAGTGCGGACAAAAGTGCTCGAAAATGGTCGTTTCGAGCTTGTTGAACAGAGTAATATTTCTGAAGGCGCTGTACATACAATTTTGATAGAATATGTAGACACGCATCGAGTTTCAGTTACACTAGCCCCTTGATTGTTGTCCATTGAACGAAAATCCAACCAAATGTCAATTTCCCTTCAGCTGCTTGAACGTTCTAACAATGATCCTACATTTTTGGATAGGATAATTTTCGATGACAATACTTCAGTGTACGGCTATGATATGGAGACGAAACTCCAATCGTCCTTGTGGGTTGAAAAATGTAGTGCAAGACCGAAAAAAGAGAGACAAGTTCGGTTAAACATAAAAATCGCAAAACACCCTTGAGGTTGCCTTACTTCAAGTCACATACCAACGAAGCTAATTAGGATTTTTCAAATTTGTGAACGTAGCGTTCTTAAATATATTTTCAGCTATCAGAATAGCTCAAGAAAACGTAATTTGGATGCATTGTGGGCTAGTTATGACCAAAATCCGGTTTCTAATCTAACAGACCTCGTAATTACTCACGCATTACACAAATACATCATACATGAAGAAGAATTGTCAAAGTTGAATAAAATACTTGCTGGGAGTGAGATATGAGGCTCTTTTCGGGACCACCTCCGGCGTTGTTTTGAAAAAAAAGCTGTCCAATTTTCGGCACTTCACCATTCACCATAAAATTTTTTTTTTGAAGTTATGTTTACATGTTCTAGATGGTTTACGTCATAATGAAGGTATGCCAACAGTGAAAACAATTTTTGCACTAATCTGGTAGAAATACAGAGGGTACTGCCCAATTACCCCACCGCCCAGTTACCCAACCTCACCTTATGTCCAATTTCAAAAAAACAGGGCCTTCCATTCGGGTATCAAAAGGAGCCCTTTTGAGGCGATGTTTGGATGTCCTCCGAAAGTGAGGCTCAAAGATTCCTCCCTTTTTATACTTTAACTGACACGTCCCAGTTAATCTATGAATTAACTAGTTATTCTATAAAGTAACTAGTTAAAGTGTGTAATAAAAATTTAATTACACACTTTAACTGGCTGCTTCAGTTAATGTATACTTTAACTAGTTAATGTATACCTTAACTGAATTACATACTTTAACGCTAACAGATGTTCATTTCGCGCAAACCGCAAGTCATTATATGTATATATATCACGGTTACAAAATGGCGGGTGGACGAACTTTAACATTTTGGGAAACAGGTTTTTCGATTCATTCTGAACGGATTTGGATGAAATTGATGGAAAAACAGTTTTATGGCAATCCGAAAAATTTTGCATTTTGGAGATACCTACGTGGTGTCACACTTTGGCCATCGATATATTATGTTAGAGTTAAATGTTAAAAAGTTAAAAGAAAATATTTTCATCCGCAATATCTCTAAGCTTATCAATTAATATTACAAAAATATTGTTGTTCAATCAATTGGCATCCCATACTTTTCCAAATTTTAATTTACATGTCGATGTGCCAAATTTGTATTATCATCTGAGTGCAAATTCTCATTTTAATTCTTTTTATACCGCCCTCCCCTTGTATATTTAAAAGAGTCCATTTTTTCAAGCACTATGAGGCAACACCATCCACTTCTCGCCTTTCAAAAATTCATGTGTGTATTGTGCCATCTGTCAACGCCTTCGTACAAATTTACATTTTTATGCAACGTCAAGGAGTGCTTCAGTGCTTAAAATCCTATTTTTACTGTAGTTTCGTGTCGCTATTTTATAGGTATTAGATCCCTCCGGTCGATTTTTGCGAGCTTTTGGCAGTCAAGGAACTACTGATGGCAAATTCAACTACCCATGGGGTGTAACAACAGACGCGCTAGGCTTTATTTATGTTTGTGATAAAGAAAACCATCGTATCCAGGTACAAAATATTTTCAATTTCACATTCAATTTTATACATTTTTAAATCATAGATCATGACGTCTTCATACACGTTAACTTTTGTGAGATGAAGGGAGAATGCTCCCCCATGCCTCGAGAGAATAGAGACAATTTACCTACCAATACCATGGACTGCACCAATTAGGTAACTAATGCATATAAAAAGAAAAAATCAAGAGAAAAGAAGGCGGATTAAAAACTTTTCCTTTATTTTACGTATGCGGTCTCAACATTTCTTCGAAGACAATCGAATCTTAGGAAAACGCTTTCGCAACCATGCATTACAAGGAGAGTTAAGACGTATGGAATCCTTTTCTGATTGGCTACCATTTGCCTGTCTCTAATTAAATATCCTGGCAAAAGGTCATGAATAATATTTTTACCATGTTTGCAAGGACTTCATGAAGTCTTTGGGACCAAGGGAAATAGGGGTGGACCATAAAATGAGGGCAGGACAGAGAAAGAACCGAACGAAAAAGGAGCACCTAGGAGAAAGGATTACGGGAGTGGGATTGTCGGAGGTTACAGATTGAAAAAATCCCTACCCGCAACGGCTGTTCAAACTTGTTTTTAACAGATTCCTAAAAGAACTGTTAAAATTTACAAAGAAGGAAGTCACTGAAGGTATTTTTTACGTAAAATTTACGAGACCCGAAATGTAAGTTAAAACAGTTCTGAATAAACTCTATTAAAAAACCTGATTTTTTTAAACGATTTTTCTTGGAGTAAAAACGTAAAAAAAATGTTAAAACCCAGTGTATCATTTCTAAGAATCAAATCTATTTTTTCATCTAGATATTACGCGCAGTAATATCGACTTTACATTTTCAAATTTATCTGTAGGTAATCACGATTCTCTTGAGCGTCATTATAAGGTTTTTGCTCAAAAACAATAATGATGTCAGAAAAAAGTTACCTTTTATTACACTTCTCCGAAAGTTGTAACAAGTGACTTCGCCTTTTTGATCTTTAACGATTCAGTCCTGTATCTTAACAATGCGGAATGGTTTTAACTTCAGGAACCACCCAAACTGTAGGAGACAATTTTTGGAATAAATTAATGGGGTGAATAATACATTTATTGTATGAGGAGCGAGTTGTAAAAACAAAACACAAACTAGGAGGAATACACAACCTCTCCTCCCCTCTTTAGAGTGCTCCGCGCCTTCTAAGGTCCGCTTCCCTTCATATTTTAGGCATCTAAAGAGGGTGCCTCATGTAGAGACTACTTTACCATAAGATAGAAAGCAATTTTACAAAGAGCCCTTTCTGAAACACAAAAAGAAGAAAAATTAGTGAAATCACATGAGTACTTAATTGAAAAAAAGTGTAGCTGAAAAACAGAGGGGAGGGGGAGGAAGGAGGAAACGTGCCTAGGTAAACCGCACATAACACAAAGGAGGGCGTCTCAAAGTTTCAGAGAAAACCGGAAAAACTGTAAATAGCTGGGAGAAAGTGGAAAGTGGAAAGTGGAAAGTGGAAAGTGGAAAGTGGAAAGTGGAAGTGGCAAAAAGCCGGAAGAGAAAGGGGGGTGGAGTAAGAGCTCAGGATTGAGTTGGAGCAGAATGCGCAGGGAGAGGTGATGCAGTGGAAGGGGTAGCGGACACGACCAGCGTTAGGTTTCGAGCGTTACGTAATCCTTTTATATAGAAGAGGCTTGAGTGAAACGGGCTGAGATTTTAGAATCCCTGTTGGATTGGAAAATAGTACATTCACGACCTCCATAATTTCTTCGTTGGAAACGCAATCGTCATAGTAAAATATGTTAAGAATATCCACATACTATATACTTGTGAAAGTACGAAAATACTGTGCTTGCACTCTCCTGAAGTGTCTATTTGATGACTTGCGGGTCGACTGTTGAATCTCAATGAAAAGACCTAGATTGATGTCGAAATATCTACCTAAAGGCGCGTCCACACGCCATGCCAAGCTGCTCATCAGGCCGCCTAACGTGCAGCTTGACGGGCCGCTGTAGGCAGCTCATCGAGCCCTCCACCGAAGCGCTCTCTATCCTCACTATGGAGCACGTTTGCTTAAGGGCTCGTCGAGCTGCGCCTCAGGCTACACTTCAGGTGGCCTGACGAGCAGCTCGGTATGTACCGTGTGAATGCGCCTATGGTAACAAGGGCGTTGTGTGTAAAGATATAGCAATCCAGGCGCTGCTTCAGTTTGAAGTTCTTGAATGCCCCAATTTTCGATAATTTCCTTGAAGTAAAAATAATGTTTAAATGATATGATAGGTTTTTCAATCAGACGGGACTTTTGTCGGAAAATTTGGATCAAATGGAAGCAAATTAGGTCAACTGGAACATCCACATTATATCGCTATCTCGAACACAAATCGTGTCATTGTCAGCGATTCCAACAACCACCGAGTCCAAGTCTTTGATGTGAATGGTAGAGTCTTGTCCTCCTTCGGAACTGAGGGCTCCGAACAGGGACAGTTCAAGTTCCCGAGGTCAGTTTTACATCTCTATCTTGTTTAATTAAGAGCTTGCAAAAAATATTTACCTAACTACCCAAGGCATAGAAACCTCATAAATCAAAGAAAGAGTTATTTTAACACTCTTAGAATCCAAAAGTTATTATGATGTTTTTGGAAAATGGATCAATTGGGCGTGTCTTCGGACCTATTCATACAAAAGAAAACCAAGCGTTAAATTTATGGTTTTCAGTTTTTGGTTGATTTGGGTTCTCTATACGTATATGACGTGTAGGTCAGTTACTGTGACTCACAAACATGTCCTAAATAACTCATTTCATTCTGCAGGAATGGTGTCTGAAAAAATGTATTTTAGAGAATCGGTGATGGCGAATGAAACCAAACAGAACTTTGTGTGGTTCTCCCTGATTTAATACTCTAACCCTGAATTTAAGGTACGGCAATTAAGACGCGGAATGCCGCCGCGGAATCGTACGCGGCGGACGCAAGGGAAATCTGTCACACGCGTTTCAATGGGAGCGGCAACTAAGGAGCGGAGCGACGCCGCGGCGTCACGGCGCTCCGATCTGTCGAGAACAGATCGGAGCGGAATCCCTCGGAGATTCCGCCTCGTCCGCCGAGGTTTTCGATGATTTTTCATGTCTATGTGCCGAAACGTGGATCGCGGAGGAGAAACCAATGGAAAATTGCGGGCCATCGTGACTTATTGGATGAAAGAAAACATTTTTTCAGCACGACATCAACGCATGGCAATCCTACCTCGTGCCAGGTGCAAATAATACCACACAAATAGGTAAAAGAAACATGACACCTTTTTTCCAGGAAATAAATCTATAAAAACAAAACGGAATAACTATTTTATGGCTTTTTGGCATCTGAACAATTTATTTATACGTTGCTATATATCTATAGAGAAACCTGATCGACCAATCTTTTTTTGAACATCATGGCTGAAAGTAAAAAAATGGGTGTCTTTGCTTGCAATGCTGCAACTCTCTGCTCAAGCTTTATTCGTTAATTTGAAACTATTGATAGGGAGCTTATCTTGGACTTTTTGTAAACATTTTATTGCTGTATGTTGGAGTCTTTTGCCAACGTGCGTTAAAAATTGTTTTGCTCATTCAAAAATACTTTTAGAAATTTTGCAAATGGATATTTTGACTGGTATTTTCGTGAAAAATATTGGAGCTTTTGAAAAGTGGTGAATGTTCATTGTAGCAAGGCACAACACACCTACACTCGTGAGTTATCATCGGATACTGATGACGAGACTGCCGACGGACGCGGCGGAATTTTGGAGGCGATTCCGCTGCTTAGTTGCCGGGCACGGCGGAGCGGAAACAAACACGACGCCTCGCTCGCTCGGGTCGTCCGCCGCATCAGATTCCGCGGCGGCATTCCGCGTCTTAATTGCCGTACCTTTAATGCTCTAACCCTGAGTTTAATGTTCTAACCCAAAGTTTAATGCTCCAACCCTGAATTTAAAATAAAGCAAAAGAAACTCCATGCTGAAAAAAATTCTCAATCTCGGTACCTACCAAATGAACCAAATTTAGTGAAGAGGGGGAAAAAAGGGCGAAAAAATTTAAAAAAATTGCTTTTTTTTGGAAGCGGCCCGAATGTAAAAAAGGGGAGTCTTTTTTTTAGCGTTCCGGCGCCTCGAAGAAGATAACTCGAGCTGAAGTTGACAAAGCCCTATGATGTTATACATTTTCTGGAACCTCTCGTCACGCTGGAAACGCTCGTCTCAACTGCATCTTTCAAAACTTCTTGGTTTTCGGTCAACAAATTCGCGAAAATTTCACTGTTTTTTACTTTTGACTCCCCCCCCACCGCGTCTGCCCAAAAGTTTTTGGAGGCTTGAAACTTCGGGAAAAGATCGGACATTGTTTGGTGAATGAATAGGGTAAGTCTCAAAAGTATCCGATCCGAGCCTGGAATGGCCCGTTTTGCACGCACCCCTTTGTTGGTCAAAGTATCTATGGACTGCATTTAAATTTACAACTGGTATCATTATCAGATGTTCCACCGGCCAGTTCATGATGTTCGGCTCGCTACCTTTTTTACTAATTAGCTAAGCAAGCACATCGACCAGCTTGCGGACGACGGAGATGGCCAGTGCGTCCGCGGACGGAGCGAAAATTTTTCCTAATCTGCGGAATGGGAAATTTTGCCAAAACGTGTAAAACTCACCTCAAAAAAATACGGTAATTTTTAGGCCTTTTTCTTACCAAAATTCTCGCTAATTGACGCGTTTTACATAAATTTTACCGTTTTTACCCCAAGATTGTCTTCTCAATGGAGATATATTTGCTGTACATTACTCGCAGAAAAAATATTAGGTACCGTAGAAATACAACCGGATTCATAAAAAATGATAATTTTACTGTTTATTGACTAGGTACCTTAAAAGAATTTCTTTTCATTTTTAGTACCTATGTTATTTTCTCAATGAGGAATCTCACATTCGTTCTTCATGGGTATCTAAGCTGAACCGTGTTAGAGCGTAAAGCAGTTTTATGACAGATTTTTACGAAGCTTCAAACTCAGGACAATGAAAACGTAGAAAAAAGTTACGTTGAGATACTTTTATTGAACTTCTTACGCCCCTTCTAAGCAAGTATACGGTTTTCAGTTTAAATTAAGACTTACGTAAGTAAAATTGAAAAAACTTAAAATGGGTCAAAACTGGCAACAATGGACTAAGCGATGCCCCTAAAAATTCATCGGAGAACTTTTTGAAGGCCAGAAATGGAAATGACGCAAGACAATACTTTAGAATGACCTCGTGAAGCTTGTCAGTGGCAAGGAAGGGGGTGTGTAGACTACTCCGAGCGCCCGGATTCCAGTCGGCACGCGCGCCAAACGTAAACTTTGATGTCTCATACCTATTGCCGCAATCACACGCTGAATTTAGCAGCTGAATGTGGAAGTCAACAGTCGTCGCCCAACGGCTGAAATTTAGCAAATTCGAGTTACTTTCAATCAGATGTGTATCAAATCTACTCGAATAGTTCAGACAAATCCAACATTAGTCCGATGGTTGCTGAGATAATCGTAGCTGAATTTTGCGCGCCACGCGCCAAAATCAGGCATCGGGCCGATGACCTCCACATTAAAGCCACATTCAGCTCCCTCATTCAGCGTGTGATTGCGGCATATCTCGCGTAGCAATCGTTTATCTGGGAGGTGTAATATATCAAAATGTACGGAAAAGTAGGTACGAAAAATAAAATGAACAGCTCTTTATTCGAATCGAGAATCCGGCACTGGACAATGTTCTGGGGTTGAAAAAAATTGGCCGCTAAGATAGTGTGAAAAACTTCATCATTACAATCTTAATTCTCCTAAACCATCAAATTGACTAAATATTCCAAAAGAACGCAATATTTGAGGAATTTTGGCGCAAACCGTACCTCAATATCTTATTTCGGTCGATTGATATGGAACTCAACGGTTTTCAACTTGCCAACCCTGCTACGCGGAATGAACTTCTGGGAAATGGCGTATCCTATGCGAGGAATGACAGATCCAAAATTGGTGAAAATCCATGAGAGGGAAAATTTTTGCCAATTTTGCATATTCCCCTTTGCATTTTCGGCAAGGGAAAGGTTGCAAATTTTCCTCTTACAACAAATGGACCGCGTTAAACAGAAAGGAAACAAGCAACATCAGCTATTGCCAAATTTAACAGGGAAATTTTATTTTTTCCGAGAGAACGTTTGTGCGGATTCCTTTGAAAAGTTTAAGGACTTTGCTTTATGTCATTAAGAAAATTCACTGAAATTTGCACAAAAATCCACACAACCGTTTTCATGTATAAAATTAAATTTCCCGATTAAATTTGGCAATAGCTGATGAGGCTTGGTTCCTTTCTGTCTAACGCGGTCCAAATGTACTCCTAATACACACCATTTTATCCAGATTCACCCTGATTATTCACATTTTATTCCGATTCGATCCGCATTTATCCTGGTAAATATCGATGTATTAGACCGTGGGCCAGCAAGGGGTAACCCTCCCCCCCCCCCCGGGGAATTTTGAATGTGATGATTTTCTTGAAGCTCTCGACCAGTAGAATAAGATTTTTCTCGTTTACGCGAATTATATCGTGGTGGGGGGGGAGGGGAGTAAGCCCCCTCTCAACCCCCCAAAATTGCTCAGAATTCCGACTTTTCCGCGAATTTTCCCATTTTTCTCGAAAAGGCTTGATTGTAGGGCAAAACTTCAAATAACTATTCTGAAAACTCGTTAAATTTTGGTCCAGAAAAGTTTTAAGTGACTTTCGCCATTACCCGCGGTCCCCCAAAATGGGGAGGGGGGCTTAAAATGTCAAAATATCTCAAATTTCCGCGAAAATGACCGTTGCGCCGCGATTTCTCGCCAATAACAAGGAGAATGTTGGTAATATCGTAAAATTGTTTACCCTAAAATGATAGAGCATTAATTTTTCATACGAGGGGCGGCCTGACCCCTCGTGGGGGGGAGGGGGCCCCCCAGCAGTACCCACCCTATAGAAACGAGCCGCTATAGACGCCCTATAGAAAGATTGGCCGCTTCCTTGAAGTAGCGTTATGCGCAAAAATGGGCGGCAAAATGAAAACAAGTGGCGTTTGTTCTGAGAGAACATCAGTGTGACTTCTTGTGGGAGGTGAAAGGGGGGAGGGAGGTACACCCTCCTCCCTCCCCCTCCCCCTCTCCGTCTCCCCAAAAAATGATCACGAAAAACGTTGATTAAACGCGAAAATTCCACTTTGTAAGACGACTTTCAGGGCTTGTCATTAGGACGCTTACACTAACGTAATTTAACGAGGGGGGGGGGAGGGGAGAAGGGCTTATCCTCCCCCTCCTCTTCCACCCCCTCCTCTTCCACCCCCTTCCCTTCCCTCATAAAATAATCACGAAAAAATGTAAATAAACGCGAAAATTCCATACTCTAAAAGGCGACTTTCAGGGCGTGTCATTGTCACGCTCACACTAATACAGGGTGATCCAAAAATCCCTTCCACCCCCTCTAACTTTCTACCTAATTGAGGTAAAGATTTGAAACTTGGGGGATATTCCTCGGTCAAAGGGAGCTACTTTTTGGCCCCCCTAAAATTTTCAGGGGGGCCCCCCTTGGGGGGGGGCAACGGCCCCCAACTTTTAATTTTCTAATAAGAAGACCCCCTTTGTGATAGCTCGTTCGAAAGAGCATAAACAAAGAAAACTTTTCGCGCAAACCCGAAGTCAATATCTCAAACCGTTTCAAAATGGCGGCCGGTTAAAGTTCAAAATGGCCGAAAATTCACACCGGTTATTTGTCGATGGATTTGCGCGAAAATCGGTATGTAGGGGTATTTTGACACGATAAAAACGAATTTGACGTTAGATTTTCAAAAAAACCAAAATTTCCAAAATGGCCGCCGGTTAAAGTTTAAAATGGCCGAAAATTTTCAACTCGGTTTTTACCTGATAGATTTGCCTAAAACTTGGAATTTGAGAGTATTTTGGCATAAAATAAACAAATTTGAACTTAGATTTATAAAAAAATCAATTTTTGGTCATTTTGAACTTTAACTGGCAACCATTTTGGAAATTTTGGTTTTTTTGAAAATCTAACGTCAAATTCGTTTTTCTCGTGTCAAAATACCCCCATATACCGATTTTCGCGCAAATCCATCGACAAATAACCGGTGTGAATTTTCGGCCATTTTGAACTTTAACCGGCCGCCATTTTGAAACGGTTTGAGATATTGACTTCGGGTTTGCGCGAAAAGTTTTCTTTGTTTATGCTCTTTCGAACGAGCTATCACAAAGGGGGTCTTCTTATTTGAAAATTACAAGTTGGGGGCCCCCCTGAAAATTTTAGGGGGGGCTAAAAAGTAGCTCCCTTTGACCTAGGAATATCCCCCATGTTTCAAATCTTTATCTCAATTAAGTAATAAGTTAGAGGGGGTGGAAGGGACTTTTGGATCACCCTGTATAATTTAATGAGGGGAGGGGGGCATTAGACATCTCAGCCTCCCCATCCATCATTAAAAAAGGGTGGGGGAGGGGTAATTTAAAAACGTCACTTGCTTAATAATTGGAGGGACGGGGAAACCTAGCTGCAGTAGGAGAATTTTAAGATTTGAGGGGATACGTAATTAAATCAGGGAACATCGAGATATTATTTTATTTTTTGGAAATTACTGAAACTGAGGGTTCAGCTTATTCATAATTGACGGAAATGTGCATTCTTAAGCTTATGTAAACATTTTCGAAACGTTTAGAGAATAGGCTCAAAGTGTATTGGATCGTTTGCCGAAGAATTCAATCATTCATTTGGTAACAGACAGATAATTATCGAGATAGTTTGACTCGGAAAAAGAAAAAATTATTTAAGTGTTTGCTTCTTATTGGTATGATTTGTATTGAGTTTGCAAGGTGAGGTCAACTCTCACACCGTCAGCGGAAGTAATCTGGGTAGACCCTTCTCCATGCCTTAAATATACTTTTTCCTGTGAGAATATTGGGCGTATTTCTTTCAGCTCCATTCAATTAAGAATAGATCGATGAGTTGGTTCTTGTTTTTACACCTGCCTAAAGTACTTTTCAAACTACGGGGTATTTTGGTTGGGGGTCCTTTCATGAAAAAGTATCCCCTTGTCCCCCTCATAATAATGTTTTTGATAGATTTATCACTGCAGTATCTGTCTGTGTCCAAATGAATGATTGAATACTTCGGCAAACGATCCAATACACTTTGAGCCTATTCTCTAAACGTTTCGAAAATGTTGACATAAGCTTAAGAATGTACATTTCCGTCAATTATGAATAAGCTGAACCCTCAGTTTCAGTAATTTCCAAAAAATAAAATAGTATCTCGCTGTTCCCTGATTTAATTACGTATCCCCTCAAATCTTAAAATTCTCTTACTGCAGCTAGGTTTCCCCGTCCCTCCTATTTTAAGCAAGTGACGTTTTTAGATTACCCCTCCCCCACCCTTTTTCAATGATGGCTGGGGAGGCTGAGATGTCTAATGCCCCCCAACCCCCCCTCCCCTCATTAAATTATATTAGTGTGAGCGTGACAATGACACGCCCTGAAAGTCGCCTTTTAGTGTATGGAATTTTCGCGTTTATTTACATTTTTTCGTGATTATTTTTTGTGGGAAGGGGAGGGGGTGGAAGAGGAGGGGGAGGATAAGCCCTTCTCCCCTCCCCCCCCCTCGTTAAATTACGTTAGTGTAAGCGTCCTAATGACAAGCCCTGAAAGTCGTCTTACAAAGTGGAATTTTCGCGTTTAATCAACGTTTTTCGTGATCATTTTTTGGGGAGACGGAGAGGGGGAGGGGGAGGGAGGAGGGTGTACCTCCCTCCCCCCTTTCACCTCCCACAAGAAGTCACACTGATGTTCTCTCAGAACAAACGCCACTTGTTTTCATTTTGCCGCCCATTTTTGCGCATAACGCTACTTCAAGGAAGCGGCCAATCTTTCTATAGGGCGTCTATAGCGGCTCGTTTCTATAGGGTGGGTACTGCTGGGGGGCCCCCTCCCCCCCACGAGGGGTCAGGCCGCCCCTCGTATGAAAAATTAATGCTCTATCATTTTAGGGTAAACAATTTTACGATATTACCAATATTCCTCCTTCCTCCTACCAATATCCTTCCTATATATATAATACCTCCCCCCCACCACGATATAATTCGCGTAAACGAGAAAAATCTTATTCTACTGGTCGAGAGCTTCAAGAAAATCACCACCTTCAAAATTCTCCAGGGGAGGGGGGAGGGAGGGTTACCCCTTGCTGGCCCACGGTCTGTATACTATTTCATCTCTATACGTTTCCCGTTGCCTCCTGATCTACACCTATAGAACTCCTCTTATTGCATTACATTCCGACTCATTCCGTTTCATTCCAATCCGTCACGTTTACGATGTGCTTAATGCAATGTATCCCGATTTATCCTGGTTTATACAACCTCACTACAGTGTATCCCGATTTATCCTGGTTTATACAACCTCACTACAGTGTATCCCAGTAAATCCAGATTTATCCTGATTATTCACGTTTTATTCCGATTTCCGCATGTCTATCCCAGTAAATATCGATGTATCCCGTTATATCCTGATCTATTTCAAAACACTTTATCCTAGCCCATTACATCCAAATTTATTCCGTTTCAGTCTGATCCGTCACGTTTACGATGTTATGCAATGTATCCCGATTTATCCTGGTTTATTCCATTTCAATGCAGTACATCCCAGTAAATATCGATGTACCTATCCCGTTATATCCTGATCTATTCCAAATCGCTTTATCTTAACTCATTACATCCATATTTATTCCGTTCATTGCGATCCGTCACGTTTTGTCCCGATGTATCGCGATATATTCCGCTTTATCGAATAACCTCGATAATTTAGAAAGGCCAAAATATAATGAAGCCAAAATTTAGCCAATGCAATGACGTTTTCTGATTGGATAATTGATCGACCCATGAGAACAAAGATAGCGACGAACACATGAAAATCAGCTTAGCCTTTTTATTAAAGTAAGATAAGAAAATGGTCTCTCGAACTACAATTTTGCAATGTTGCGAACTTCTTGAATCAAGAGGTTAGAAGCCATGCCTTCCTGGATATGCAAAGCGATTCTTCTGCTTTGATTTTGATTTGAATAATAAATTTGAGATAAAGCGCATTAAGATCCATAATGCTTTTGAGGGTTCTATGAGCCGATGACTGTGAATTAACGGAATCAATAGGGCCGTCCCCTAGTAACCCTATATATCGGCCTTGAATAGGAAACGATGGTCAAACACCGCGAAAAATGCTCATTTTCCAAAATTTGGCACCCTCTAGCAGGTTTCATCTTGTCTTGAGCAAAAAAATGCATATTAGGAATTTGTTTTGGTATTTAACCAGCTCTAATTTTGAAAATTGCTCATTCCTTCGATAGATCAACTCTTCGCGTGTTACAGGCCATACTTCGTAAAAATAGCCAATTTTACGCCATATGTTTCCTAACTTAGCAACTTTCCAGTCTGCATTTCTGACGCTAAGTTTAAATTCGGATTCAGCGTTAAAAATTACACAGGCTTCACTGATACTGTATAGCCACCCGGAATTTTTGCAAGCTCTTTTCTCTATTTGCCTGCTCGGATATCAGCTCGAAGAGAATGACGATTATTGTAGAAGAGTTTTCCTCGCAAACTATATCCTGCTTTTTTTCCTGCTTTACCTATGCTACATAATTATATGATCAATGTTGATGGCGATTTTAAACCTCAATTTAAAAAAAATCCGTATTGTTTTGATTAGAACTATCTATAATCGGCTTGTCAAATCTTATATGAATTACGTCACCAGAGACGATGGATTATTTTTTCAATCCAAGGGTTACGCTCCCCAAATCCATCTCGATTCTTCTATTATTTGTCTTCTTCGTATTTCGCTTTCATCTAACCTCTCTATTGTTCCAAAGTAATTGCTCTTTCAAAAACAATTTCGGGGTAGAAAATAAAGCTTGTTATTGCATCATTTCTTATGTGCCTTTGTGAATCCTGTTGCAGAGGAGTGGCAGTGGACGACCAGGGATTCATCTCTGTAGGCGATTCGGGGAACAACCGGATCCAGATATTCAATCCAGACGGGAGTTTCCTGAAGGCGTTCGGTTGCTGGGGCTCCGGGGACGGGGAATTCAAGGGTCTCGAAGGAGTAGCTGTCATGTCCAATGGCAACATTCTCGTCTGCGACCGGGAAAATCACCGCATCCAAGTATTCTAACACCGTCCTCATCCGAGTAAGTCCAAATACATTACTTCATACAGCAAAGAGTCATGACGATACCCACCAATGTTGCAGACATACATTTTCAGATGTGGGAGTGATCCCGCATTAACGGTGCCCCATGCGTCGCAATCATGGGCATTCGAAAAAGGGCCCTGCCCCCC